GTTGAGATGAATTATTTTTTTTAGCAAAGCCAAACGTACTTTTTTCATGCACTGCATATCACCTGCTGCTTTGTTTACATTTCTCTACATTCAGCTGACATCATTGTATTCTGCAGAAAGCATTTCTTGATAGTTTATGCTTGGAGCCTACATACATTTGAATGGACCAAACATTTATAAAAGATTCATGGCATTTTCTTGGAGAAAAACATTAATGTCCGATCTGTTGACAAGAACCGTAGTTATGTTAATGGAGGCGGAAATGCTGCTGACCCAAGCATTAAGTGCAATATAAACATCAAAAACATACCATCAAAAGCTGGAAATACATTAAAGGTTGCTGCCCAGAGAAACCAACTGTCCTGAAAATAGTTGAATGTGGTTTAACCTCTCAAAGAATACACTAAGGAATATGTTAATGCACACTAAGAAGTATATCAATTCTGAGCTTTTCTATCCTGAAACTGCCACTAAAATCACAAGCTTTTAATATCCAGACACCACCTAAATGGCTTCTGATGTTTCCTGTAAACGAAGAGCAGAGGTGGGTTGCAGGAACACTCTCTGCTTACTTAAATTAGTGTTTACTTCACGGCCATGGTCCATGTATAGAGGTTCTGTTTAAACAGTGTAGGTTGAGCATAGTTTTTTCTCATTAAAGCTCACTGAGGGAGAACTAATGACAGACTTCTGTTCACTTCTGAGCTCACATGTGTCAGACAGAGATCTGCCGTCAGAGTCCTGGCTCTTAATTCTCCATAGTCTTCCTCTAAGTGGTGCTCTAACCCACAAACTGATTGAAACAGTATTATACACAGGGGTTTACAGTATAAAAACGGATGTTTCAACACTCTTTGTCACAGTGGAATTAGTTTATGGATTTCTGTTTGTTTTGGGTTTCATCATGTTTGTTACAACTAAGTTCCTAAAATACTTTACAGAAAAATTAAGAACATTTTATTTTTATTTTTTTTTACTTTATACGATGCTAGATTTGTGTCAGAATGCTTTCATAGGTTGATTAAGCCGCATCGTGTATGTGGGTTTCACTACTTAAAAACATCCATCCTTTCTGCCAATGCCAAATAGTTTTTGGTGGAGGGAACCTGATGCACACTACAGTTTTCAGATTTTTATTGGTAAACATTTTTGAAAACCATTTTTCCTCTTCCTTCTATAATCCCAATTAAATGCAGTTCTCCATGTTGGCCATAAACCGAAACGCATGGTTTATGTGACAAAAATGTGAAAATGTTTGAGTACAAATACTTTTCAAGGCCCTGTATGCAGTCTGACCAAACATGTTTTCTGTTAGCCATATGGCTGTAAAATACTGCATGAGATAAAATGCCGAGAAGAGCAGAGTGCAGGGAGAGGAAATACTTGCAATAACGACTTTGGACTAAGATTTATACTGTGTTTCTACTGTGACAGCTGCGAATGCAATTAGATTTTAAGCTTTAGTTTCGGGCTACAGGCTCCCAACCCATTTTGACATTTGAAATCTTACAGGAAAGGTCTGATAATTTCAGGCATCTTAGAGTTCAAATTTGTGTAAAAGCTCACATTTTCATTCCAGTATATGCTGATAACTTTGTATTGTAGAAGTTTTAGAACCCTACACACACAGACGCTGGGTGCCTCGGTTAGTGGAGCGGGGGGACCATGTGGTGAAGCCTGTGGTTCTCAGTCCTGGTTCTGAGGGGCCACTGTCCTGCATGTTTTAGGTGTTTCCCTTATGCTACACACCTGAGTTGAATAAGTGGGTGATTAACAAGCTTCTGCAGCACCAGAGTGCATGCAAAAGAGATCATGCAATCATTTGAATCAGGTGACCTGCAACAGAAATGGTAAGGCAGTGAGGACCGGAATAGAGCAACACTGGGTTATGCCTGGAGTGTTGCTTCGATTCTTTTATGTATGTTTGAGAAAGCATGGATTCTCACGTGGTGGCCATTCGGGGGTGGAATTGTTGCAGGGACAGATTTCATGGCGGATGAGAAGGACGAGGTTGGAAATTTGATAAAAAGGTTATTGTCCTGGAAGAAGGTAATGATGCGCGACCCAGAAGCACACTGAATAGTTTTGTCTTCATCTCAAGGGCAACCTTAAATGACTGAAGTGGAGAAGAAGAAAATAAGGTCAGCTCCGGTCCCACTGCGCCCTCCAGTGGAGACCTAACGCTTCAGAAACGGAGAACACAAACCGCAGAGAAGCTAACAGCCTGATTCCTGACAGAGAGTTTGGTTACAAAAAGGGAGCATTAACTGAACTAAGTGCAGGACGTTAAAATGAAAGAAAAGCATCTTGAAAACTAAACATCTTCTTGGCCACAGATGTTTGTTGTGTTAGTAATAATATAAAACAAAAATATTTAAATTTGCACACTTCAGTTAGAGAAGAAGATTTTGCAGATTACTGATAATAATCCTGCATACTGAAGCTGATTTATATATCGGTATTCTACTTGGAATTAAGTGTTTTTGAACTACCTTGCTGCTTATTTAACTCAAGTAAAGAGTTGTTAAATAATGCATATCAGTCCTGCTAATATCTAAACTAGAAGGACTGTAATGATCAGATTTCAGAAACTAAACACTAACACTACAGTAAAAACATGTACTAAATGTCAAGAAGCAAAGTCTTTACACTGCAAGAGTCGGTGGTCAAGATAATAACTATAAAGCTTTTCTGAACATCTTACAAATAGGATTAATGTCATAGTCTTATTTTGTCACATGCAGAAAATGTTGTGTTTCATTTTTGTCTTCAGAATGTGTCCAATTCTCATGTCTCATTTTCTGGTTTTAATTTCCATGTCATAGTTTGTTCAATTTTTTTTTTTTTTTTTGTTTTACCATCATCAGCTAAAATTGATGGGACTCCTGACGAAACAGTTTTCCATCCGTCGTTGTCGTCTCTTATCTCCATCCGTCAGAGGGTTTGTTCCAGGTTCAGACCTCAGCATGAATCGCACCTTGCAGCTCCTTCCTCCTCACGTCCTTCATCCTCCCTGTTGCATCTCAGAAACATCATCTAAACTTGAGTTTAACCAGATACCAAGTAACCAGTAAACAGCCTTCGAGCTGATTTGTGGCGTCAGATGGGCTGAACAGTGAGAGGACACACCCTTTACTCAGTCAGATAGACTCAGCATTGTTTTGGCAGAATATTTGGAGGTCCAGCTTGTTAAAGGCCGGACTCACCACTTTGGCCAAATATAGAGCGATAGATGAACCCTTTGTGTCTTGCCAGCTGTACTCCATGGTAACTGCAGGCTAAAATTGTATATAATAATGAAATTCAAATAAGTCACAGTTCTGTGTCCTGTTTGCAGGCTTCCTATAGATTTCTGATGTGAATATTCCACAAACAAATGCATTTTTTTGCAGCTCACTTTAAAATTGTAGATGCAAAAAAAAAATAACGATGGATGGATGAGGAATGATGTCTTGAAATGTAGGTATTTTTGCCACACTTCTGTCTTTTTTATCATACAGTTCATCAAATGAAAAACAATGTGTTCCAAGCAGATATATCTTTAGTTATTTCAACTCTTTATAATATCAAAGATATTCCAGAATTTGGCTGCAGCTCAAGGGCAGCTGTTTTAACAGGATGTGTTAATTACACGAGTAAAATTAGACGGTGATCTGCCCTGTGTGGTGTTTCTCCCCTTCTATCAAATAACCGGAGTTCTCTAATTACATCTAACAGGGCTTTTAGATTTACCCTCACAATTAGAGGACAACATGTTACTGTCCAATTTAGCCCTGTTCCCTCCTCCCCTCACTCTGCCTGCTTGTTAGAGGAAAGAAAGCCTTCATCAACAGTGGGGTCCAAGCCCCTCCTGCCCTGGGAAAGGATGAAATTAGGAGGAGAGCCAATATTTAGGACGTGTTGTGAGCAAGAGAGGAGAGGATGAAAGGGTATGGAGAAAAAAAAAGGACGAGAACAGAGCAAGGTGCTGAGGTAGTTTATGTAATTAATGAAAGACAATTACCAAAAAAAAAAAAAGAAAAAGGAAGAAGCTGAAATCAGGTTGTGTTTACTGGCTTCTACACCTCATCCTGGCTGTGTACTTATATAAACGCTCTCCTGTTCCTGAGAAACTGACACAACTGTTTGTTTCCATAGCAGGGCACCAAGAGCTCTGCCAAAAAACTTTTTCTTTTTTTTCACTTCTTCTCTGCCCCAACCTCTCACTCTTCGTCCTCTCTCCTTCTCATTGTGTTTGTTGTTTTATGGCAGGGTTAGACGCAGTCCAGATCGGCCGTTGCCATTAGAGACTGTCTCAGTTCACCTCCAGCAGGCTCGCCTCTCCATTCATAAACAAATCGCTCTGGCTCGGGGGACCTCCGAGCTGCTACCTAAGAACAACAAGCAGAACCTGATCTGTGTTTTTGAAGTTTTGTCTGCCTCTTCTTTCATTTTTGTGAAACTTGCCTCTGTTGCTTTTCTCTCTCTCCTCTCCCCCCACCTCTCTCTCTTTCTCTCTCTCTCTGCTCGCTGAGGGCCGGACCACTGACTCCTCTGCTCTGCTCTGCTCTCTCTCTGTGAGGCTGTCAGGGAAGGAGTGTGTGTGTTGCATGTTTCCAGTGGGAAGTTTTTCTTTTTTTTTTCCATACTTACACCACTCTTTCAAAGTGTTAGACTGTTCAGTGAGAGAGGAGAGGAGAGAGAGAAAGAAAGAGACAGAGAGAGAAGAGACCCCCATGTTGCTGTGATTTGACTAAACAAACAGCCATTCTCAGAGCGGTACCTCCTCCCAACGGACTCCTGGGACAGCAGAGAGAAACTTCAGAACATCTGAGAGAACCGGACATTTGAAGCTGTGGACCCTGGAGGGACTACAGCTGGAGAACTCTCCTCTCATTTCCCTTCGCTGGCCGGCTTTTTTTTTTTGGGGGTGGGGAGAGGGGTCAGAGAGGGAAGACTCATCCGCGTCTGCAGGAGCGCTCTGAAGGTAAGATGAGTTTCTTATTGGCTGGTCAAGGCTTTTGGGCAGATGTTGGCAGAACAAAGTTGTTCAGATGTGATTTCACAGATGTCTGACATGAAGAGAGCGCACACCAGAGCTTCTTGACTTCTTTAATCAGATTTAAAAAGGACTAAGGACAACTTCTTTACCCATTTTGTTGCGTGATACCTGATGTTTTTCTGTCTCTAATAGGGGGGGTGTCTGTTACCCGCATGCTTCAGTGTGTACACACAAGCATGAAAATATGAGCAACCTGTTCAGACATCAACATGTTGATGGGCTTGCATCTCTGCACACACACACACACACATCTCTTCTTCGGCAGAGTTTATCTTCCCGCTGAGAGAAAACGTTTGACAAGACATAGTGGTGACACACACAGACACACACACACATCGTAGGCTTTACAACCTGTTTGCATGCCCTCCACTTTGTGTTTCACTTGCTAAAGAGCCTGTTTATACGACCCTCTTCAGTCACCCGAAGTGAACCAACAATGCTTCCCACTGAACGCTGCTGAGAGAATCGATGTTCTCTGCATACCTCCTGGCTGTGCATCGAAATCGGACCCAGCGTCCGTCACTGTCTCCAGCATCCTCTTTAACTACAAATGCATTCCTTTTTGCAGTGATGAGACATGCCGAGCTTTAATTGAACACAGCTTCACCCTGGTTTTCAAAGATCTCCAGTGAACCAATGAGCGGGTCAGTAGGCAATCTGTTGAACAATCTCTTGGCGTTTATCTGAGGAGAAGAGTTTTACTGCCAGGAATGAGTTCCCTTTGAGCTTTTTCTGACTCAAAATACTTGTAAGTCTGATGTGTCCACTGATGTCAAGGCTAAAGATATGTCGTTCATTTGTCAGAACTTTAAAACTTTTCCAGCTTCTCAATCAAATTCTTTATCGTTAGTTTAAATCTCAGCATGGTTAACCCACAATCAAAAGCATAATGAAGTCTTTTAAGTGTCGCCGTGACGGGTTTTGTAGACATTTATTGTTTTAGCTGCCAGGGTCCTTTTCAGTGGATGCAAATGAGTCGACGTTTCTTGTCTGAGAGACGTCCTCTCAGTGCTGTGTCATCTCGGTGCTTTTAGGGTGATTCAGTGAGATTATTCAGAGATTGTAATGCGCTGCTGGTGTGTTAAAGTGAACAGTTCTGTCGGAAATGCTGTTTCACGTAAAAAAAAAAATAAAAAAAAGTCACACAACAAACAGATTGAATAAAAACAAGATGATAATGTTTGCCAATTGGGTTGAGGCTGGATTCAGAAGTTTTTGAAAGGGTCGCGGAGTTCAGGGCAAGAACTTTTACTGTACAAATATGTAAATATGGCAACCTTTTAACCATTTTTCATCTTTAGTTCTTGAATAAAAAGACACAGCCACTGCTTTCTGACATTTCTGCATGCTTTACAAACTTTTTTTTTTATCCTTTTAAATGTTTGGTTAATTGTGTGAAGTAAATTAATTAAGTCGTTCGCCCAAACCAGTTCTGCCTAAATGTGGTCAAAACAAAAGGTGCTAGATGAAGGACTAAATCTGGGGTATTGACTTACCATTGATTCATGTCTAAATGAAGTGTACCCTTGATCCTGGAACTGAGTCTGTAGCTCAGCGGGACGTTACGGTGATGCTAGCTGTTTAACGGCCAAGACGTGCGTTTCCTTCATGTCTTTTCCATTTGAACGCCACGTGCTTTGCACCTGAACTTGTTGGTCTGACTAACAGCGCATCCATCCTCTGGAAACAGGTCAGTGTACCTTTTGAACTGAGTGGCTTTAATTAAATGTGTGTTTTCAAAGAGCTCGCCCCACCTGTTATTTGAAGGAGTTTTTAAACGTAGTCAGACAATGTAGATGTCCCAGTCTGCTGTCCAAATCTGTTCTATAGAGAAACCTTTGGAAAACAGCATTCATGTCGTAGGTTAACCCAAAGCAGTCTGAGACTGTAATGCATGTCAGAACAACTTATTCCTCTGGCACATCTTCATATCGGGTTTTCAAAAAATGTTGTAAAGTTATACACCTCTGATGAACAGCGGGGATTTTCCGTCCACTGCGTCAAGTCGCTGGTATGCAGCACAGCTCCTCTGCTGGCCCTGATGCTGCACAGCACAGTCGACCCCATTCCTCCCCTTGGCCTGGATCTAATCCTTAGTCATCAGCTGTTTCCTGACTCCTGGCTTTCTGCATGCCATCCGCGGTAAGAAAATGTGCTTCGCATTAGGACCATACAGAAAACATGTCCGCGCTCTCTTAGGGCTCACATGTGTTCCGCAGCGTCGACATGTAAAGGTTCGAGCTCCGCATAGAGTGTCTAAAACACATACCGATCCCGTTCTGTCCTGCAGTGATTTATCCATCGCTCCGAGAGCCGAGCACGCAGCTGCTGAACAGCCGGGATATGAAAACCCGCTGTCATGCTTTTCATATCGGGATGAAATATTGAGTTTGGAAACATTTTTATAGCTGACATCTTATCACATGCTTATCAGTGCATTGATTGATGAGTTTGCTGTGACTCATAGCCTTGTGGTCAGCTGCATGACAGAGGCTGTGATTCAACTTTCATATTTTTTCAGCTGAGTGGTTGGTTCTCTGTGACCCTATCAAACGATAAACTTGAATAAGTGTAGTGAATAGTGCTTTGGGTTGCAGCAATCTTGTACTGTCCATCTGGCTTCCCCACCCCCCACCGCCTCCACCTCACTAACTCAGGGGAAGCTGACAGGCAGCTGCATTTCATCTTCAGTCAGGAAGTTCAGTCTTTGAGGAAGCCTTTATTTCACTACGTCTTCTTTTCCCTTCTTTTGCTATGACACTGTTGCTTGAGAAGAAATAGACACAAAATCCTTTGAGCAAATGTTTACTTGCAATGTATGAAACGATGCAACATTTTTTTTTTCCATACTGCCTGACAAGAAGACATCAGAAACACGTTTCCTGCTTTAGACATCATTTGTCAAAGCCCAGAATTATAAGGGACATTTGTCCACAAGTGTCAGATGGGATTGAATTAATCAGTTTTTGGAGCTGCTGGCTTTCAAAGTCGACCTGCCGGTGACCCCTGGTTTACGGTCACTGTCCATGCAACGGATCCATTTGTGTCTAAGCTTAACGCTCTGCTTGATATCTTCAGATATTGCTTCAGCCGCTCCACATTTCTTACTCAGAATGCCACCCATCTTGTGCAGTGTAGCAGTTCCTCCTACAGTGAGATGCCCACACAGCGTGCAACTTTATGCACACAGCATGAAACTACCATCCCATACTTCACAATTGGGATGATATTCTAGGGCTTCATACTTGCTTTTTTGAGAACAAACAATGTGCACAAAAAACTGAGATCTTTGTCCCTGAAAGACAAAGATCTATCAGTTTAAAACTAAACTAAAGTTGCAGTTTAAAAACTGCGACGTGGCTTTTTTAAAAATGCATTTTAGAATCACGGCTTCTTCCTGGGCGAGTGACATTTCAGCAGGAATCAATACAGAAATAAATAACATACTCACTGTAAGGCACAAAGGATTTTGAGCTCAAAATGTTGTGACTCATCATTACTAAAGGTAAAGAGAAAAGTCTGTTAATAAAATGGAGTTGATATGCTACCTCTGATTTGGGAGAAGGACCACGCCTCAACTACCCCTTTAATTACGCAGCTGTCTATATAAACTCAATTCACCCGATGGTCCACGTCTGTTGCATGCTTTTGAAACCCGCCCTTCCTCTCCCTCGCCTCAGCATCCCCTCTCCCTCTTTTCCCTTTATCCCCTCCTCTTCCACTCATCCCCCTCTTCTTCCCCTCACCTTCATCCTCACCTTGTTCTCAGCTCCCATTAACTCCTGCTCCCAAGGCTCCATTCGCACATCTCCCCTACTGACTCATCCCCTCATCCCATCCATGTATCCCTTAATGCCCTTCCTTCATTTTAACTCCATATCTTTGTGGCGTGGTCCTTGTTAGTGAAATAATTGTTTTAAATTATAATGAAAGCTGGAATGATGTAACATATTTTCTTAGCATGAGTGACTGCGTTTAACTTTCAAATCTGGAGAACTTTTGATCATTCTATTTAAAAATAAAACATTGGTGTAGGACCTCTTTTTTTTTTTTTTTTTAGTAAAAATTCAGATTCACATGATGTTGCATAGGTTAGTATGTGACGTATATGAGTAGATATGAGTCTCCACCATAATAAACGCCCATCTGTGACAGTCAGAGATGCACAAGACAGAAATCAGCTTTGCTCTGGTTTTGATGCGGAAAAATCTAAAAAAGCAAAAGCAAGTCTTCTGAAGAAAACAGCTGTTTCCTCTTACTGGTATTTGAGAAGAAACTGCCAACCTTGTGTAGTTTTAACATCATGCAAACATCAAGCTTTCCTCTAAATCCAGTACATGAAGAACGAGACAGGAAGCATTGTTGTCCGTCAGACTCTTTTCTTTCTCTGAAATCTCTTTGGGGATTTTCTGGCCAACAAAAACATTTTGGAGTTGGTGATGCAGAGCAACGGGGAAAGAGGACAAAGAAAAACAACGCACTGCTTTTATAAGACAAGCACTTTCCGAACAGCATAAAACGCAAATTGGATTTTGCTGAGTTGTTTTACCTCCATCCTTACTCAGAAATACAATAGAAAATCACAAACTTCAGCTATTTTTACCACAATTACATAAATTGCACTGCCTATTTGAGATTTTCTTTTTCTTGTGAAACCAGTTCTCTCTTTTAGAGTGTCTAAGTGGAACTTAAAGCCAGTCATTTCTAATTGTATTCAGCTGTTTCTGTTTCTTTGGTGGGTGTGGGTACAGGGTGACTGCAAGTTGAGTAAGGGGACTTCACTTCTCACGACGTTTAGGGGTCTTATTGTCTGGATATAATCAATGAAAAAACTATAAGCTGGGAAGGAGTTTGTACCTTTTATGTCAAAAAATTCATACCCCAGTCTGGTGTGTAACATTTAATTTCTTACAAACACATTTTTT